TTTACACATCTGATACTTAGTATATTTATATATTTTTCTTTATTATGACTATAATGTAAATCAAAGTATACCACATCGGCCATACCTACCTAAGCAGCGAGGTGTTGGGCGGTCCCACAGCCCATTGTGCTGACATGTGAGGACAGCAGAGCCAAGTAGGTAAAAGCCTCTCTTGCAGTGAATGACCACAGTTACACCATAGCTGAAGATTTCTGGGTAACGCAGACCGGATTGGTGAACACCATTCTCCACATGTCCAGGGTCCGAACAGTTCACCACTGTACAAGATACAAAAGCATTCTGGTAGACTGTGTTTTTATTGTGCACCGCAATTACTTAACAAACACATGAATAACATACAGGACAGAAAGTCTTAGGAGATTTCCAAAGCATACATCCTGTACTTACATTTCCTTTTCTGATATTACAAATGGGATAAAAGGGAAAATATTGAATTCAATGTAAGCTACAGTAAATAAACTACATGTAATAATTGTAACTTTCAGAGGATACTATCATGAAGTAGACAATTACATACGTTTTGGATGCATATTATTAGTATAATTATGGTAAAAAGTTTGGAAAAATCCAACTTTTTAAATGTAGGTAAGATTGGTAGAAATGACAGAAAACAGAATGGGAACTCAACATGGAACAGAAGAGGAAAAGAGCAACTAACAGATAATATGACAGCATGAGACATCAAACCAGGAATCTTATGGTCTGGTATTTCACCTCTAACCCTTTTATTACCACCTCTCTTCTTTTGATTTTAGCAAGCTTTTCTGCCCTACATGCCTGATCCTGATGCCAATTTACTTCCAAACACCTGTGGCTCAAAATTGATCGCACTCCCAGCTGTACCTCATGTGGAAACCTTTCCTCGATGGCGTTCATATAATTTAAGCCCTAGAAATATCAACACCTTATAGCAATATAGTAATTCAATCTCCATAGGATTTCACACAAAGATAAGAAAACCACTACTTTGAATTATTGCCTTTTGTGATCATTATCAATTAGAAATGAATCAATAAACTGTACGCAAAATAATCTTGGCAATTGTTTTAAAACCTTTTTTTTTTATAAATAATTTTTGTAAAGAAATACGTTACATAAGATTGATATTTTACCTACATTTCCAAAGTCCTGAATTAGGCTGCAGCCCCACTACTTTTATTTTGAAATGGTACAATGACTCTTACCTTTGCTTTATTTGAATTATTAATATTTCCAAAGTTCATATTTTTACTTCATGTCCATCAAGAAGGTATGGTCTTTTGCTTATTTCTTACACTTTATAAATCAAGCTCAGTCTTTGTGAGGCTATCTGCAACTGCCTTCTATATGCTTTAATAGAGGAGTCCAAAATATTTAAAAATGCGTGTTTCACCGGCAAGACATCTTAAGCCAGTGTTGTAATTTGGTGTGGGAGTGGCGGCCTAATGGTTACGGCATAGAGCTTGGAATCCTGAGGTTTTGAGTTTCGAGCAACACTCCCACAGACTGTGACTCTGGGTCTCTGAGCAAAGACCCTTAACCCCACACTGTTCCCTGGGCGCTGCATGATGGCAGCCTACTGCTCCCCAAGGGGATGGGTTAAATGCAAGGGGAAAGTCCAGTTATATTATATTATCATTTATTTTACAGTCAGTTGGAGGAACAAGCAGCTGGGGCCTTAAAGCTTTGTTATCATTTAGAAGTGATTATACATATATATAAAATAAGTTAGTTCTTTATAAAAGTCATATTTTTTTCTTCGTTTAATCTTTTTTAGGCTTCCAAAGTTAACCATTTAATATATTCCTAAAATGTAATGAACTGAAATCCAGCTGATGGGATTTACCTATATGCAAAGTAACAAACAGTTAAAAAAAAAAGTTTTTTTTTTTATAGACTTCCAAAATATATATCTATCATTTTAATATTGGAATTAAATTTAAGCATTTAATACTTATCACTTCACATGCATATGCAATGAACTCAGTAAAATATGCACACAATATTATAACTTTTTATACTCAGTTCCCAACTGAAATGTCCAGGATTAAGGTAGTCTTCTTATGCGACTAACACCAAAAGAGGCTCTCTTTTGGGGATTTATGTGCTTTATTGCTTTACCATCAAACCTCTATGTCACAAAGAGAGTGAAATGATAAAGCATCACACAGAAAACAAACCTGTAGTGTTAAAAGAAAAGTCTGTTTGTGAAATTTAAAGGCAAAACTCTTTTTATTCCAGTCAAACGGTACCTCCCCAATTCACTTGAAGGATTTACTGCCTGCTGTTTCCCCTCCCAAAACTGCAGACACTTTGACGCATCGCTGCAACTATTTGAGATAGTCGATGCACTCTTTGTTATGTCTGTTTTCAACTGTGGTCTGTTCTCTGTGTGAACTGATTATGTGGTATTCATCTTTTTTTTTTGCTGAATTATAAAATCGACAGACTAAAAAAATCTAATTGCAACAAATTCTGATTGTCCTTACTACTCTTGTAAACCTTCTCTCTCATCATGCCTTACTCAGTTTTTTTGAGCTCTTTGTTCTAAACTTTTGCTCTTCTCTGGGTATATGCCAGTCCAATAGTAGAGTAGAGTGTGATTTTCCACATGTCACAGGGGAGGACTGACATTCACTGAAATCCAAGCCCATGGGTGAGATGGCTGAGTGTGAGTAATTGTGTGTATGTGTGTTTGGAGCCCTATGGGAAGCAAGAAAGTTTCGGGCATATAATTGACAGCTGCTGCTGTGAGAAAAGGGAAGGGGGAAGGAGGCAGATAGGGAATAAGAGCGAAAAAAATCAGGGAGGATGAAAACATGGAAAGCCAGAAAAAAATCCTTTAGATAGGAAGTCCGTGTATATAAGAGACTTTGTGTTGTCAAGTGTTTTAAAGGCTTGAGTTTACTTTTTTGTACTATTACTTTTATGTGATAGTACAAGACATACTATTACATAAGCAATTAAATGAATCTAAATTTGAAGTTGTTTATTTTTTGCTAAAAGTTGATGATTATTCACAAAATCCAATAAAAAAATACAAATATTTTAAATATTAATACATATATTATATAGCAACAATTGGATTCTTTATTTATTTATTTTTTTGTCAGCAAACTAAAACCAATATCCATGTATCGCACAGTATTTGCCCTAAATATCTGGTCTGGGTTCCCCTTTGAATGTTAACTACATCATTGCTTTGTGTCAGCAGTGAAGCCCAGCCTGCTAAAAGGTATTGCTACATTTGAAAGTGTAGGTCAGGTACCAAGCCCTGCTGGTAAATGATATCAGCATCTCAAAAAAGACACAAAAAACACTAAACACTAAACACTTGTGTTCTTTTCAGAATCAAGCCCTTTATCTTATTGTAAAGAGAGTAAAGAAGTGTAAAATTTAAGCTTCTCTTCAAATTTGTTGAATTATAATTTCTAGAAAATATTACTGAATGCTAAAGTAGATACATTTTATTTATATAGAAAAGTGTTTTAAAAAAGTGGATTTCCAAATGCTACAACCAAACACAAAAAAGGAAAACAAACCAAAAAGGCCGGCCTTAATTTTTTAAGTAAAGATAAAAAAAATAAGACAAATAAACCATCGTATGATTCTCTCTTCTTAATTTGTGAAGCTTTTCAAAGGAAATAATATTTTGGGATGGAAACAATTTAGTAATGTTGTTTGAAGGATGAGAAAGTGACCTTTGCAGGCAGGTAAGGGGTTGCTCCACTGTCCGTTGATTCGGCACTGAGCGCGAGCATTCCCACTGAGGATGTAACCTTTATTGCAGGTGAAGTTGACGACGTCATTGAGGTTGAACTCGCTGCCATTGGTTTGTCCATTGGTAGGGTTTCCTGGATGTCCACAAGTGATAGCTGAACAATTGGACATATAAGAGAAAAAAAAAACATATTTAGGTTGAGCCCTTTTATATCCAGCTTCACGTTTTGCATTTTATTTAATTTGTTTAATAAAATAAATAATTTAAGTAATTATCTTTTTTAGCTCTTTCTGTTCCTTAGTTAAGTTCCATTGAGGTTAACTTGAATGAGATTAAATTGTGTATTATAACTGTAACGTTGAAGCCGCATAGAGATGGATTATAGTAGTTTCTAACAGTAGATTATATTTTTCATCGTTCTCAATTACGGAAGAAGGTAAACTTCTTCAGATTTCAAAGCCAGAAATACATTGTGTTCTATGAGTCACAAATAAAAAACATCTTACATTCTTGGTTTTGCTTCGATCGATCCAAACCTATTGTTGCAAAACTATTTAAGCAATTTAGCTTTTTTGTTATGATATTGTAGATTTTTTTCAATTAAAAATACAGCTTTTAGAACTAATGAGTAAAACAACAAATAGTCCATTTGAGCCAATTAGAAGATGATACACTTTCAGCTTCGCTCTATTTGATCTAAAACAAATTTTGCAAATCAAATTCAAACGCCTGCGTTAAAATCTTTTCTTATATTTGAATAATTTTTTTCCTTAAAAAAAATGCAAATTAGTGAAAACAACTAGACAAATCCGCTGCTGCCTGTGAGTAAAAAATTCAGCTTTGCAAGTCACACCTTTACTTACATTTGCTACAAATTTCACAATAGTAGTGGAGCGAATATGATCTATGACCTATAGGTAGTTCGCATGGGTAAACAAGAGAGGGCACTGTCTGCTTTGTCAGTTTACGCCAACCCAAAGTACATAGGCCATGCTGCCCTCTAAGATTGCCCTTTAACTAGCCCTGAAGCTGAAATTTCAAAACATAGTCTCAACAACAGCGTTTCAGGGGCATACTGGCCATAGAGATATTTCCCATTGTGCTGGGTGCTCCTGAAGACCTGTTCGGGGCCATCACTCAGGGGTGAAACCAAAGGCTCGGTGTGGGGTCTCTCTTAATTTTTTTTTCTTTTATTCATTTCAAACAACTGCATTATTGAAACTCCTAGACCAGGACAGACACTTCCTCGCCCCCTGGCAGTCAGAGCACCGCAGAGACACACAGAGATAGATAGCCAAAGGGGGGAGAGGAAGAGGGTGAATAATAAAAAAAACCTTTGGTCAGCTGAAAATGTATAGCTGTCTGTAATGGTAAGAAAAATACTAGCGTTGATAAGTCGAAAAACTAGCATAGACTGTCCAACACAACTAACTAAAAAAAATGCAAAATAAAATATATAAAATATATCCATGGCTGCATCCTTCAAAGGTCTACACAGCATGCATCCTTCGATGACAACATGGCAGTAGGTCTGTAATTTCCGGGTGTTGCAGACTGACTAACCAGGCAGCACCCTTTGCCCTGTAAATTACCAACAAGTCACAATTATTGTTGTTCCATTACCAGTGCTGTTTTTGGCTAAGGGAAAACAAAGGTGTCACTTGTAAATCTTAATTTGTGACTTACAGCAGCAGAATTGTGTACGGTAACTGTATTTACTGTTTTCCAGTTCTTTTAATGAAAAGGATATTGGAAAAAAAAATGTGGCCAAATTTAAATACAAGTGCTTGAGCTTTTTTGGATCATTAATTTAGTTTAATTGGAGAAACCCTCAGAATGCAAGAGGTATTTGGTGTGTGACTCAGAGAACAAAATTACTCCAGAACTTTTTTGTAATTGTAAAACAAAGTAGAACATTTCAGAGAAGCTAAGGAAATGCTGTGTTTACTTACCGACACAGACAGGTGTTGTTCCGGACCACCGATGGTCTTGCTGGCAGATTCTGACAGATGTGCCGATTAGTCTATATCCTAACATGCACTGGTACACAACAGTGTCACGGTAACTTGATCCATCTCCGCTAATGTGACCATTGACTATAGGATCTGGAGAGTCACAGTGACCAGCTGCAAAAAGACATATATTTGTAAATTAAAAGTTAAAAGTGAACTTTCTCTGTTTTGGTAAGATAAGTTGAACTATGATGTTTTTAAAGATGACAAGTTTTGGATTTTCTTTGTATAGGTTACCTTAAAAAACAACCATCCTTTTAAATTATGTTTAAAATATTAGTTAGTTAAATGGAGCCATCTGTGACATCATAAAAGATCATTATGAACACACCCTCTACACACATACACACACATATGACAAACAAATAAAAAAAACATGCAAACTACAAATTCCAGATTATAAAATTCACAATTGGGGGAAGAGATCTGATGCGTTGCTTGTCCAGTTGGTAGTTATTGACTTTAATAAAAAAAGAGCCACAAAAGGTCAGTGCTAAAGGAGCTGGCTATTCCTAGTGTGCTGTATCCAAGCATGATGATTTAAAGTTGAGTGGAACCTGTATCACCCTGTGAGACAGCATCAAGTTAAGAATCTTTCTACAGTAATTAAGTGTTGAGAGTAACTTGCCTGGGTTCAATTCAATTCAATTCAGTTTATTTATATAGCACCAAATTCACAACACATGTCATCTCAAGGCACTTTACAGTTCAACCAGATAATACAGTCAAATTGATTCAAAGTTTTCTAACCAGTTGATTGCATTGACTCATTGACTCAAATACAATCCCTCACACTAAGCATGCTTGTAGCGACAGTGGAGAGGAAAAACTCCCTTTTAACAGGAAGAAACCTCCAGCAGAACCAGGCTCAGTGTGAGCGGCCATCTGCCGAGGCCGACTGGGGTTCAAGGAGACAGAGGCAGAGTCTGGGTGAGGGTGAGGAGAATTACCAGTCGGAAGCTGATTTTTTTTAATAAAATGAGAAATCTTCAGCTAAGCTTTATGACAACCATTCAAATTGGGTGTTTTTAATGTTGCAGTCGCCATTTTCTTCATTAAGCCGTGTCTTGTGTGTTTTTCTCCGATTTCATCTCCATATCTACCTTTGTGCATCCTGTGGGTTCTTCCAGCCTGACTACACCAAGTTATACACATTGCCACTCATTCTTGTCTGTTTTTCAGCCATCTTGTGAAGGGCAGCTTAGCTTATGACCTGAAGGATTTTTTTTTTATGGCCAAAGTTTTTGCACGGTCCGACTTTTTATGTCCTGTGGTAACCATCCTAACTGCTAACGTAAAATAATTAGCCTGACTTACAGTAGAGTGTTTGGGGCTTGCCGAATTAACCATTGTTTGCTGTGGATTAGCTGTGTTAGCCTCTAGCTATTGGTTGCCTTGACAACAGAAGCCTTTCATCCATACATCACCACTTATTCCATAGGCTACACATTTCAATGCTGTCACATATGCATTGCTCAATATTGAAGCAAATCAAATTTGAATGGCTTGAATGTTACCAGAGCCTTCTGTTACACACCTGTCTGCTGTGTATAATCTATACTGCTAATCTGAGGGACATTCCCTGAGTGCATCACAACAGCTGAGCTTATTAACTGGATATTATCAAAGACTCTACTTCAAGGTCTCATGTAAACCCCTTTTATGTCACTGATTCTTTCATGTATACTGTGTCTATTCCAGTAGTCTACAGTGTTTGCATAGTCTATTAAACATAATAATGAGACAGGGATTATTAGGTTTGATAAAAGTACTCATTATTTCGATTGTGGTAGTCTCTTGTTTTATGACAGTGACTGATTGTCTCTAAGAGCTGAATCAATTTCCTTTGAGTTGACAACATGAATAGACAGATATAAATATTTTACTTGTGGTTAATTATTAATACTACTTGAAGCACAAGACCAAGTTATTGACATTTACTGGTGGGGAAGACAACTTAGATTGCAACAACCAGTCCAAAAGTCCAGCTAATATAGGTAAGTAATAACACCTGGTAATTGAGCAAATTGTCAGTTAATCATTTGACCAGCAATGACGTGATAGTTCACTCTTCAATTAATTCGTTATAACCTCTGGTTATGGTGATTAATAAATTCATAATCAAACCAGTAAAATTGCTCATCAGGACCCACGACACACCTTGAAAAAAACATTGACTTAGGATTTACTTGTTCCTTTGATGTGTGTTTCCAAATAAATTAAATTGAGGGTTAATAAAGCCACAAATTTTAAGTTTTGATAAATACATTTTAAAAAGTATATTTCTGTATGCAACTAATGTATATACTGGTTTTACTTTTTGAATTGTATCAATGAAATAAAGTAAAAATGTGCTTGCTTATATTTACCTGTATTTTTCTAGTTCTTTCTTCAAACTAAGAAAATTAGCTAGGCTTAAAAGATCCTTCTAGGAAAAAAAGAACTTTATAGTAAATAGCATGACTAAATACATAATTAAATACGCTGTACATAGGGCTTGCATTTAGCTCTGGAGCATATAATTGGCTATAGTAAGAGTAAAATTTTTACGGTTTTACAGAAGAACTAAAAAAAAAAAAGATTAAAGCAGATGCAATTTAAATTAGAATAAAAAAAAAAAAAAAAAGGAAGTAAAAGCCTGTACAAAAAACAACCTATAAAAACACTGTCTTCTTATCATGTGTACTGATCAATTGAAAAATAAGCTCTCACAAAAAAGGCCCAGGGCAACATTTGATGATGGATTATACTTCTGACATTTTTCTGACGGCTCACTGCATTTTAATCCCAATGCATGAGCATTCCCTTTTCTTTTTAATCATTCACACCTCACACTATATAATATGTCTATTGTTCACAAGACTGGAACCTAGGCAACAGTATGCTATACAGTTGAGTTTACTCAATGGATCTTACCTAAACATCTTGTTTCTGCACCGCTCCATAGCCCATCGGCACCACATTCCCTCACATGTGATCCCACCAGCGTGTATCCATGGTTGCACATAAAGATGGCAGTTGCTCCAAATGTAGTCAGCGTCCCCAATTTGGTACCAAAGGGTGGTGTAGGAAGTTCTCCACAAGAGATGACTAAAACAATAACAGACATGTGTTATAAACAGAAACCATAAACTGAAATGGTATATATACAATTGCAAGGCCCAAAACTAATTAATAATGTGGTTTCATATTGACCTATGTTCTCATTTGACTTTTTCTATTCCCCAAATTCTGCAGCCAGAATTCACTCTTGATAGTAGCATATCTGAATTATATTTATAACAAGGATGAAGGCTGGAAATGGTACTCAAATCTATGGCCAATTTTAAAGAATCCTACTAAATCTGACCGAACTGCTTTGACATTAGGTAAGCCAGCTTATACAAAGAAATGGCTTAAAAGCTACCTAAATAAATTACTGTTGTAATCTTAACAAATGTAATCCTCTTACTATTCTTCTTCAGAGTTAACATATCTCACTTTATCAGTGGCAGTTCCTGTATTATGCAACACTGAGAAATTCTGCATTGGTTAGTTTTCACAGTCACAATGTCACTAAGCTCTACTTAATGAACCAAGTAGCAAAGGCACATTGCAGAAAAACACCTCTATTTTAAAAAATGATGATCGCCAACATGTAATCCAAGTTTAAGAATCATGCTCTATATTTTGCAATGAAAACCTTATCTTTGTCCCAGGCTAAATAGTTAATATCATTCAGCATTTGGAAATTCATATTCAGCTGGTATCTCAAAAGGAAAAGGTAGAGAAGAAAATAGACAAACACATGTCCATGTTTATCACGCTGATACAGAATGCATTTACCTTATGGGATAACCCTTTATTATCAAAAATACAATTTCTGCATCATTGCTCCAATGGATTAAAAAAAAAGAAAGCACACATTCAAACAAAATAACAGAAGGTACCCTTATAAGATCAATACCTTTCTCTTTTTTTTCTCTGCTTGTTTCTGGGTGGATCTGTTATTTTGATAACTAATTCATGACAGGTGGTGGAAGTAACTGCAATATAGTTTTATGCATGTGTTATTCTGTTTGTGTGCAGCATACTGCCTGCTCATGTTGTTGCATCATTGTTTGAGTGTCGGAATGTATAAGTCCTCTTTTTCATCTTTTCTCTCATAAAGCTTCTCTTCTTATCCAAAAAAGTAGTTAACCAATGTCCCACAGACATCCTTTTATGTGAGCAGTACAGAGTAGGAAAGAACTGATGTAAAACAATTTCTTAGAGCCAGATAACCAAATAATGTTACGTAAGACATCTTGCATAAACACATCAAAGTTGCGCCCTTCCACTGTTTTTCAAAACAGACTAGACATTTTTAAATACAATTTTCAGACTTACTAGTAGTCTCCTGAAGCTAAATGGCTGATTTAAAAAAAAAACTGTAAAGCTGTTTGTATGACTGGCAACCAAGAGACATCAGGAAACAAAGAAACTTAAATATCCTCTGGGCGTGATCTTCTGAAGGTTAGATAGTCTTAAAACAGGTGCATACATTTTTGCACGTCCAGAGCAGATCTTCAAAGAAGATGCAAAGTGAATTGTGTTTGTCATTCAGCAAACAGCCTGTTTTTTTGTAATGACTGAACTGTGCAAATGAATGGGTGGAGGATATACAAATGTAAACATTTATCATGAGCAAATTGTCACATCTGAAACTCAACTGCGGCTGTAGTTTTATAATCTTTTTAGTACTTCTGAAAGTTGAGTCCAAACTGACAAGCAAAAATATCTGCAGTCATTTGTACCACAAAAAACACATAGTAACAATGCCACAGGTCGGAGAGAAATTCTGAGACACATGTAAATATTTTAGAGTTGACTGTCACTGTTATTGTAAAATATTTTTTAAAAAGAGCCTGCAAAGAAATGAGAATACGGGGAGCGCATCTCCTCACAACATGGAACAATTTCTCCCTCGAATTAGAACTGTGCATAAAGCAGTAATGTTTTATTTTTACTTTTGTCCAAAGCGCTTTAAGAATAGAACTATAAATATTATTTTATATTATATCATTGTTATTTTTTTAAAAATTATTATTACCTCCAATAACATGGACCTCATCTTTTTTATTGGTGATCGCGAGTAGAACACGCAATCTCCTCATTTTAATAGGCCGAACTAAATTTCAAGATTTGCACATGTTTAACATTTGAGCAGCCTTCATTGTAGATCACCTGCCAGACGTTCACTTATTACAAGGACCAACAAAATATTGCACATGCATTTCAGCTCCCATTAATTGGAATCTATAAAGATCAGGCCCATAGTTTTTATGCAAAATCTTGCAAATTCAAGTATCCGGGTGTGTTTTGCTCTTCCTAAAAAGTTTGTCATATAGTTTTTAATGCAAAAACTGAAACTTACTCTTGCAAGTAGCTGGGTCATCTGATCCCTCCCAGGTTCCGTTGGCGAGACAGCGCAGAGTTCGATGACCGACACCCAAATAAAACCCTGCTGAGCACTCCAGCATCACAGAGGAGCCAAACTCTCCCAGCCTCCCAGTGAGGGGGCGATATGTCATGTGATCTGACAGGACATCTTCAATGTTGGGACAGTGCACAGCTGTAGTAAAAAAAAAAAAAAAGTGTCTTATGGGGAAAAAAAGATTAAAATCATGCATTTTTATACACAGGTGAATACTGGTGAGCATCACTTACGCAAGCACCAAGGAATTGAGCCTGTGTTACTCCAGGTGCCATCTTCCAAACACACAGCTGTCATTGGAACACCAGGGTCAAGATGGTAGCCATAATTACAATGATAGGTAACTTGGCTACCAACATTATAATGGTATGCGTGGAAAGTGCCGTTGCCAGGAGTCGGAGGAATTCCACATGAGATTGCTGCAAAAATAAAAATGAAACCACTGCTGAAAAAAACTCTAAAAGAATTACCTAGGCTGCATTGAGAAAAAAAACAAAAACAATCAAAACAGTTATTTTGATTTCCTACCTTGACAGACAGGTGTAGTGGTGTCCCACTGGTAAAGTCCGCTGGAATCGAGCCTGCAGGTAGTGTTGCTTAAACCTACCAGGCGGTAACCGCGATTACAAAAGAACTGAAGTCTGCTACCTGGATGGAGCCGGGATCGGTTGACCACACCACCGTTTATAGGAAGGTCATCAATGCTGCAATAGGTTGCTATAAACAGCGAACAAGATAAATGGGGATGGGGGAAAAAAATCCAAATAAATTTACCAGGAACCTGACTGATTACCTGCCTAATGCTGAACATAATTATCAAAAGAAGCTGCTAATGTTAAGAGGCATTATGAGGAAAGGCTATAATAAATTATCTGTGCCCAGGCAAGCATTACAATGTCAGTGAAATGAGTCAACTTAAAAGGACTCAAAACCTCTGACAGTCAGCATAATAGAGCAATTATGTTTGAAACTTTTCTGAGTAATAATAGGTTTGTTCTCTCAGAATGCAGTAAATGCAAAGTTGCTTGAGCACAGAACAATCAAATGCATTTCAATAGCCCACTTTAGTCTTCTTTGTACTTACTGGGATAATTTTCTGTCTCTTCTAAATGGTTTGAATGAGTTGCCCAGTCTTGTGAGTAAACACCTGATTTCTACATACTTGGACTTCCAACTTGATCTGTAACCTTCTTTACTTGCTTTGTAGCTTAATCTTTGTAGCTTAATCTGTCATTATATACAATATTGACCAATATTGACTACATTGCATACTATGCAATGATTGGTTCCTGAATAATCAGCCATTTTAATATTAAAACATAAAACATAAACAACACTATAAGACCACAGATCTTTCAAAGACAAAAAGAACAGGGGAACGTTGGGGCATTGTTTTTTTTTTTTTCTGATGGAAATGTTTTTGTTTTTTTTTTTTTTTTTATATATATTATTCAACACCAAGGTAAAACCCAACTAACCCCCTAAACCTATACATGTACAGGAATCCAACAGAATGATGACACCACTGCTCTTTTCAAGGGAGATTTGCTATTAAAGAAGTATTAAAGATTTTAAAGCATTGTGGGCACCATAATTTAAACACTGCAGCAACACCACAGGGAAAGTGAGGGGTTTTTAATTAAAAAAATGCTAAGAGAGAAAATGAAGTATTAAATATTACATTTGAATCAGATCAGCCCAACCTTTAAGACGATTAGCATGCATTTACATGATATACATGTATCTCAGCACACCAGGACATTAATTTTGCATACGAAGTGGAAGGTCTTAATCGTTAATCTCTGAGGTCCCTATAGCTGTTATCTGGCTATTGCAGTATTATTGAGAGAAAGATACTATATATATATATATATATATATATAATGTATAAACTTTGTTTCCTCATTTTTCAAAGTTAATTTTAACTGTAGATTTTATTGTATAATTGAGAGTATCAGCAACCTTTAAAAAAGTATGGACAAATTTAAAATGTCACTCAGAGAACCTGGCGCACATTAATAGATTGCAGCTATTAATTCTGTTTCGCATGTAAGGAAAGTAATGCATTCAAAAGAATGCTTACTAAATGATCATTGCTCACTCTACCATTAGCACATTATTTTCATGAGAGGAAAGGCATTAAGGTATCATTATTCATGCTAGTCTGAGAAATTAGCAGTCTTTTGAACTATGTGAAGTGCATACATTTGACCGGATTCTGAGAGAGCTGAGGCAGGGCAGACTAGGGAGTTGTCAATCATCCTGAAAGGATATCAAGGTTCACCTTTGATACTTACATTAAATATCCCTATTATGAAAGAGAAGTAATACTCCATCTTAATCAAGTTATTAAATCAGTCATCTAAAACTCTGAATGAATAAAATGAAAAGGGAACAACTGTTTGTGCCAAAAGCTGAACGAAAGCTTCAAGATGCAGCATTGAACAAAGCAGAACAAAAAAATGTAAAATCATTAATTCAATTATCTGTTGATATCAGAAATGTTTAAGAAAGATGCCGGCGGTACCTGAGTATCGTATCTTGAACCCCTTCTTGTTGGTGGCATGGTCAGTAGACCATCGTAGATAGAGCTGGTTTGTTTTAGATGTGAAGTTCAGTTGAGAGGAGTGGTTACCACTCAGTGCAACAAGCAAAGGACTTTGTCCTGAGGATCCTAAAAAAAATACAAGAGCATTTAAAATAAAATTATTTCTTATTTGCATGTATTTCTAATAATGTATGGACGTTCTTTTAGAATAGTTTTGTGTTGTTTCTCCTGGTGAGAAACAGCCGTTGAGAGATAACGTTTAGATGTTTTCTTTAAAATTCATTTGCATTATCTAGAGACAGAAAACCTGATTCAGCAGTCATAACAAGTTTGTTTGTGTTTAATGATGCAAACATATAATTGAAACCAGATAATTTACATACTCAATAAAACAGACACAAAACCACCTTTCTTCCCTCACTATATGAAAGAGAGCGCTAAACAATTGTTTGAAGAAATGCCAATATTATCAATTGGTCTAGTTTTTGTTTTCTGTTTTGCACAACTTTCTAGAAAGTCAGTAGTTTACATAAGATCTATCTGGCATTTCTAAGCAAGTCTGGGCCATCGTTTGTCAAAATTATCTATTGCCTGAAAGGTCTGTTGAAGCTTTGTTAAAATATTTACATTAAATATAACCACCAAGGGTGCAACCATCATATCAGACAAGAAGAAGCACTGGGTCTGAAAGATTAATGGAGTTTGCAAATAAACTCCAGAAAAGAAAAGACCCCGTTAAGAAGTTGGTAAAAGCTGATATACGACAGTTGTTATCCAATGTGAAACAGGCAATGTGGAGGGGAAGAAGCTTCAAAATAGGAACTAGATTGTATTTTGTGAAGAGGTGATACAATACCCTGATCTCTGTCCAGCTTTTGTAACTGCAAAAGGCATCAAATATTCCTTCCCTTATAGCCGACATTACTTTGTGTACTTAATTATATTTCCCCTTTCTGTGGAAGGTGTGGGTTTTAACATTGATTTGAAATAACTTTACAGTGTTGATGTAGAAAAAAATGCCTGTCAACTATGCCTAAAGCTTTGCTGATCAGGCAAAATGCCTTATTAAATGCCTCAGGTAACATTGTCCGTCAATATGTCACCAGTAAAACTATCTGATATATGTCAAGCTTTGGTTTACATTGGCTTACATTTCTGCTTGGGTAAAGCAATAATACCGTTAACATCATATCAATAGTAAATTTGTTGGCAGCACTGAAAACCTGCCTGTGAGCAAAGTGGCCTGAAAACCTGCGTGAGTTCTGTGGGCCAAAACTTGTGCATAGTATTTTGAGAAACTGGTGGGAGCAAAGCCAAAACATTTGATCCAAGTCAAACAGTTAAATATGATGTTATCAATTCACAATGAATATTTATCTGAAACGTCTTCACATGAAAAAAGAAAAAAAAAAAAATGTTTTTTAAAAACTGGAGTTCAGGCAGCGTCAGAGCTTAGCTCCCTAACAGAGCAGAGACATGGATTCCTCTTAGGGTTCATAAACAAATAAGGCTGACCATCTGTCAAGCTTTAAAGCCTTTTCTTTTCTTTTGAACAGGCAAGTTAAATCATTGCTAATGCTGACATTTGGTTAGTTAAAATTTTAGCTATCACCTTCACCTGTGACTTAATGTTCGACAACAATGAAAAGAGCTTTATGTTAGTGTATGGGATATGATTTTACCTGTATGGTATACATTTGCTTACAAGACATTTGCTTACCATCAAAAATTTCCAGTTCATCAAATTGCTTCTCACTGTGGAACATCTCTACATAGATGTTTATGGTGTAACCTAGGGAACAAGACAGAAGTATAAGGCTGCATGAATAAAATAGCTAATTACACATTAAAACTGTTATACACCTAAACACAGCATCAAAAACATAAATTTGGCACATTTTGAATTCATGCCTTTGCAAAAAGATTTCAAACTCGGGGTGGTGATGTCATGCTGGTGTCATTCAGCCACCACTATACCACTTATTGTGCCTAGATGACCTGGCAGCTTGGCAGTGATAGAATGGGCAAGAACATAAACATTGATCACACTGACAACAACTACCGTAATGTTTAAATACAAATTGTAGCGAAGTCAAATTGTAATTGAAGTTTTAAAAGCAGCACGTTAAAATTCCTTCGAGTCACTCCTGTTTGGGGGCTGGGTCCTCCTGTCAACTTAGTCCCCATTTCTTTCAGCAATACATATTCTATATTACACAATAACAGTGACTTGTGAATGTGTGTGTGACAGTTGGGCCCTGCCTGCAACCCAGGGTGACTGGTTTGCAGGTTAAACTTGACACAGGACATGACAGCAGTGCTGGGTAGGGGGTTTGGTTTTTTTGCAACTTTCCCTAAGCCTTTCTGACCTGGGGTCTAAAACCTTTTCTCTGCAATTTGCCTGTGTCTTTGGTTTATGGCTACTCCTTTTCACTACCTGGGGCTGCTGTAGCTTCTGGGATCTGAGGCTACTTGCTACATGCTGCTTTTAGGGAGCAGAGTATTGCTAAATTTTTTCCTTTCTCACCACCATCATATTCTCACTATTCAACCCACCTACAACACACACAGATGTGTGTTCACACTCACAAACTCATTCAAATTAACCAAAGGCTTTAAAGTCATACAAACACAGCTTCATATTTTATTAATAAAACCTATTTATTGTAATGCCAGATGTAACCCTGATTTAGTCAAGTCAATCTGGGAGTCAGAGTTTCATCACCAGATATCCTTTCTTTGGGGTACAGCTGCCTTGACACATGTAGGAAAAAAGCTTCTCAATATGGTATTTTTTTTAAAGTCCATGACATAGCCAGCTCTGGCATTGTGGGCATGGCCTTTACTTAATCAGTCCTAATATCTTTGATATTTACAAGCAGAGAATGTAGAAACAAGTAAAAAAAAAAAAATAATAAATAGAAAACAATAAATAATAATAATAATAAAAAGCCTTATTCACTGACTATCCTAAAACCTGTTTAAAGTACAGCCGATAGCTTTTTTAGTACTTAATAATGCTTATTAAAAAACATGATGACCTTTAAATGTTTGTAAAAGAAGGGTTGCTACGGTAACACAATTCTAGATTACACTGATGACCCAATCCTCTGCAGAAAAGAGAATACCATCAAATGTGTTACCTGGAAGCATCCGAAGGAGCCAAGAGCAAGTCTGGCTGTTGGGATAGTTGCCAGGAAACCCAGGGCTCAATATGACTCCTGATGATGACAACCGCTCCTCATTTGCTGGGCACTGAGCTGAAGAGTTAAAAAAAACCAAAGCTAGTTAACAAATTGAAACAAAATGAGGTGGGATGGGGTTACAATTGTAATGAAATACCATAGGCTGGACAATGCAGGAAAGGGCTAAAGAATTAACAGTGGACAGAGCCACACACAAAGAAAAAGCATTTAACAGACATTTACAATTACTGTGAGATTCTTTCTCACATCAGGTTAGAAAATATCTTTTTTAACCTTTCACTGGTATGGTTTGTCATTAAAGGATACCTTGTTTGAATATGTTTTTGAACTCATCAAAAAATCTGATGGCTATGTTTCTTCAGTTAATATCCTCAGTTATTAGCTTTTAGCAACTGCAAAGGACTTACACACACACACACACACACAAACATTAGTTTAGGGGACAACTTATTTTCTTATTTGTTTGTTATTTTAATGTCTTTACATAAGATAATGTGCTTTGCCTCTGTTTTTATAGTAAAGAAAACAATACTCTATTAATTAAATGTGATCCAGATTGATCGCTTCAACACTCAGCTATGGAGGCGAAAACTGAATTATCCGAAAAACTCTAATAAAAATCGATGCAAATCTTTCATATAAAGATTGCAGAGATTTACCAAGTCACCACACTTTGTTTGTCAGACCTGATCATGTGATAATATTCTTTTTTATGCTTTTATATACTATAAAAGGTCTCACCCTTTTGCAAAATTAATCAAATCACTAGTGCATAATGTCCAGTGTCCATGAGATTAGAAAATAAATGTGTAAAACATGTTTTATTTGCTCTCTTTTCCTGTGCATTTTCCTGTCCCCATCTCTTTGTCTCCCCATAGTTATTATCCCCTCTTTCTTTCTCACCTCCCTTTTCCGTTTCCATTGTATACTATTTTACACACTGAAGAATTTTTATATGCAAGTACAATGGTCTGCTTGTGAAAGCAAATCTGTTGGGCTATCATCTACCTCTGGGACATACATTCCTAGAGCTATATTAGCAAAACAGGACATAAAAAAATATCTCAAATCTCATATCTTTTATCTCAAATGGATGGCTATTTTAGCTAATTATTTTTTTATAGGCACATGATTAAGAATTCAGAGAAATTTCTGACAGAGTTTTCACACAAAAATCTTAAAGAAATGAAACTTTTTGTTTTTTGTGATGATTAGGATAATATAAACATGCCAGTATGCTCCATGTTTGACATACTTATGCAGTTTTATTCATATGATATCTTACCTTGACATTTTGGGGGCGGGGCCTCAAAAAGCAAGTGAGAATTAAGTTTACACATTAGCTCTGCTTTTCCAACCAATGTGTATCCAGGTAAGCAGTGATACTTCACAATATCCCCTAAAAGAAGATTGTACAAAAGACTCCAAGTCAGAATAATACAGTACAAAATATCAAAATAGTAAAAGGCTAATAAAGCTTAAGGTAGTCTAGGTTTATCTTTCTGAACCATCCTACCCAGCTAAGCTCTTGCAGACAAAAGACAGCAACACAATCCAAAATATCAACAAAATCTGACTTTACTTTGCATGAAAACAAAATAATAATTAATAACAGGTTAATACTTTGTACACCATGTCTATATTTCCCCCCAAAGGACAGAGTTCCAATACAGTATTTATAAATGCTTTAAAAAATCTTTTGATTTTTGTTTGATTAATCAAAAACACCACTTGTCACATTTTCTTAAACTGAATAAATTATAGCCTCAAATGAAGGCTGTATATGTTAATTTTATGTGCTTATCTATTCCAAAGACTTTTAAAAAATTAAGTTGATCAATACCTACTTCTATTTTATCTCTAATTGATAATACTTCTCAACTTCAAGAATGCCATTTCATAGGCATACCATCGAACACCCTGTCAGTACATTTACTTTTGCACTAAGAATACTTTAGAATACAGGACAGAATGAGAAACAAGGCTCAAAACTTTGTTTGAACAAAACAAACAAAAAATCTTATTTTGGCCCTGAGCTGACTTAAAAATTTATAAGTGTATAAGATCAAAGCAAACCTAGTGCCCGCTCTTAGCGCTGTGTGATTTGCAGGCAACGGTATCTAACCTAAAGTTATGCACAATTTTGTTGAAACACGTTTATCCAGGTCCAGAAAAAGTCCTCGCCAAAGTAATTGCTGATGTAATGGTTTTCAGTACTGTTAGTGATACCCCAGGCTCTGTATGGGCTTACTCCCTTAGCATAAAGCTCTGGTTCTAAGCAAATCGCTGGTTTGACTGTTAGCCCCATGATAAACTGTTATCATGCGGTCATAAATTATTTCAGTATAAGTAGGACATAAGAGCAAACCTGCTTAGGGTGCCTCTAGAAAAAGTAAAAATTTGGCCTTTGGAATAAAAGATAACTTCATCAGCTTTATTTTTTATCAAATAATTAAAGTTGCTAATTTGTCATTCAGGACATACAGTAGCCACTCCAAAATTGGTTAAAAAAACCCAACTAGACATCAGTTTTTGTTGTTGAAAACAATCCATAAGTCATCTGAAGGGTTTATTCAATCAAAAGGTAGTGAAGGAGATGTTTCGAGCTTTAAAGCTGTTTGGAACATGATTTTTCTTTGATTTCATAATTTTGTTTGGTGGCTTAGCAACACTGTTTAGCCCAATTAACTTTTGTCATGGAGCTGATCAAAATTGACATCTGGTTTACACTGAATTATGTCATTAATTTAATGTTTATAACACCCATAAAAGTATTTCTTGCTGAATATCTATAAACAATTTGGTAAGAAAAATAGGAGGATGGTCTAGATCAGAGGCTTTCGACCATGGTGCTCAGGGTCCACTGTCCTGCATGTTTAAGCTGAGTATCTGCTTCAGTGCACCTGAATCAAATCATTGCATTTTCTCCTCAGCAGGCTCCAAGGGCTACAGCGGCCTGTTAATTACCAAGCTGTTTAAGTCGAGTGTGTAGAGATAGGGAAACAACTAAAAGTTGCAGGGCTCTTGGCTTTGAGGACAAGTGTTGAAGAAGTCTGGTTTAGATAATCAGATGCTGAAATTTACAATCATGTTTCCCTTTCAGCGGCCAACTGGATTTTGTCTTTCTGTTGTAGAATTGAAAAACAAAAATTGTATATTAAGGAGAGTTTTCCCTTTTGAATATCCAAATTTAAATGAGGAACATGCAATGATAACAATGTTATTGCCCTTGCATTTCCTTAAACGAGTCAAACACTTATTTTCTAGATTGTGCTCCCTGTTTATAAAGTACTATAGTAATCTTCAGAACTGCAATTCAAAAGCTTGATGTGTAAAATATTTGACTTGAATTATAATATATATATATATATATATATATATATTTTTTATAGTGTTTAATTTGAAAATTGTAAAGCACAATTTCATTAACAAAAATCTAAAGTATTTTTTTAATATATGTTTCACACGACATGGTTTTCTCAGAGAAATGTAAGTTAATCTAACATGATATTAAAAAGAAACATTATTCAGGACCACTACCTATGTGAAAGTCTTCATCCTCATAGATAATGTCTGCGTTCTCCACAATGGGAGGAGGTGGGCATTTCTTCAGTCGGTAGGCTGAAAATAGAAGGAGGGGAAAAAAGTAAATCAAGTATGACTGAATATAAAGTTATACAAAATAGCAGGGAAATGCACAACAGTCAGATAAGGGGTTTGGATTTACACAAGGACAATTTGCTCATTTAACTCATTGTACCCATATGTCAGTAACTATTGAAAGAAAAGTTCCTAATTTGAAATTTTCCCAACAAAAGAGAAACAACATATGTGTTTTTACCTGTACAAGCTGACATAGAAGCTGCAAAACATCATCTTAATTGAAGACAGGTGACGAGAGTTTGCAGTGTTTTCTTAAAACTTAAAGGCATTGTTTAATTAAAAGAGTGTCCACTATGTGCACAGAATCTACATGATTTTAAAACTGACTTTTAAACTGTAACAATAAATGTACTGCCAAGGGACTATCAAGCAAATCAATAAGCTTTATCTAGTTCAGCGCTTCTACAGATGGGTAGAGAGTTAGGCAGACAGGGAAATAATGTAGATCAAAACATAATATTAAAGCCTCATATTAACATTTTGAAGTATTGAGTTACCATGAAAGTTAAGGATGAAGAATCCTCCAGTGGAGAAATCAGAGTGAAAACGGATCAGGACCTTTGAGCTAGAACTATAGGCTGACTCAAGAGCTGTGTTGCCACTGAAGACTCCCAGCTGAGGGCTTGAAGTATCAGGGCCATCCCTTAAAAAATGAAAACACAGGAGGTAAGAAAACTGATTAAACTCAAATTGGAAGAAATGTGAAATATTCAAAGGCATATAAATTAGATTTAATGTAAAAGTCCTTAATGTGAATAATAATTAAATAAACTGTGTGATCCAACCATCATTGACTTAATATTCAGATTACTGTATGTACATTTTTATAGTAAACATTACTGTTACTGTAGCAAGACAAGAACTTGTTAGCTCAAATAGTCTAAGAGTCAAATAGTCAAATTGCAATACATATAGAGATTTTATTAAAATGCTAATAGCTCCTTTATATCAGGTAACCCTGTGAAGAACCAAATTCCAGAAAATCTGTACGAGTAGCAAGGATTCGCAAAGGACAGTATAATTCCAAACTAATTAAAGTGTTTGGAAATTTTTTGTACAGCTTCCATGATTTTTTACATTCAGAAAAATGTTTACAGTGCTAGGAAAACGCTACACAACTTTCACAGACTACGGGATCATACTCACCTGCTGACCTGGAGCTGAGATTTTTAAAATGACTAATAGACAGGACTTTACAATACAACAAAGCAGAATTCACAGAATTTGTCAGATCAACATAACAACAGGTGTTTGAGAAATGAGGACGTCAACTAAAGAGTAAGTACCTCTATGAAGGGCCCCCAGACTAAATTATACACTGAAAAGCTATCATAAAAGAGAATCTTCAAGTAAATTGTCACTGTAAAATGAAAACTGCAGGCTTCTTCTGCACTATGCAGAAATATTGTTTAGAAGGTTATTGAAAAAGTACTTGCTTCTTTAAAATTTTGCACTGACTTATTTTGACTAATTTCACAGAGAACAATGTTATGCATGAAACATCTGTGTTTCATCATGTTTTCTTTGGCCAATTTCTATTCCTAAAGTAAAACAACAAAGGTTAATTTTAATTGTTTGGAAGCCAGAAAAATATGAGCCATGGGAGTTTGAATTTAGAATTATATAAGAAAAAAATCAAAAGTAAAATCTGTAACTTTGGTTGTGTCCTTGGGTAATACAACTCCCCTGTTTTGCCTTCTGATGGTGGTCATCACCGGTGGTCCCACTTCAGTCCGTGGCTATCATTTTAGCTGATCAGCATCACTATGTTTGCATGAATATAATGGTGCATTCACACACATTTTGAGCATCAGGGACACTTGGTTTACATGCAAACTGTAGATTCATATCAAGGGTAGTGGAAATCTGAGCTTTTACAGCATGAGATCCAGTATCTGTCTAGGAGGAAAAAACTGCATCCAAGCCATGATTTTTCCTGCTGCAGAGCTGTCAGCATTAAACTATGAAAAACTAAAATATCTAACATTAAACTCCATTGAGATTTCATAAAAAGGCAGTATATTTATTTCTTATGTAAATCTGAGAGTGCTTTGATCATCAGTACTCGATTAAATCAGTCTATATTATTACTGAGCTGCGGCACAAGAGGATAATACCTAAATTAACTTAAAATGTCAAAACCTGCGGGCAAAGAAATAATCCAGTTTATATTCTGGTATCTACAGTTTTTAACAAAAAACTAAAGAACGCATTATATTCATTCTACCTCTGTCTACCACTCAGAATATTTAAAAGTAGGATTATTAGTCAGATGATCTGACAATATCACATTGTGAATTTCTAGCTTAAAACATGTTGAACTTCTTTTTTCCCCACTCATTAAAGCAGATAAAGCTGAGTCACTCTATGGATTGCATCTGCAATTTTACAGAACATCAGCATTGGAAAAACAAAAAAATAGCTCATTCACATATCAGAGGCATTTGTAAGCACTTTGATCTAAAGCAAAACACCTAAACTTGCAAAAGCGTCCAAGTTTAGGCAATGGACGTTCTTTTTTAAACCAAGACAAATTCATTGTAAATGCTCAATAAATTGCTTTAAAATTTACCAAGTACTAATTTTAAAAGCACCAGAACATTTGTAGTAACTGAATATCAACAAATATGAAATCAAATAATCGAGAACACACAAACTAGATAGCAAAAGTCATATAGAGCTATGGCAGCAAAAGTTTTTAAATCTATTTACATGATTTAAAATAAGGTTGATGAAAAATATTTACAGCATACAAACAATGCAGAGCACATCACATTCTCTGGCACAATTCCCACATATGGCTTCCTGCTGCAGATGTCAGAGGTTTAATTTTTAATTACACTTCTCCACACCTTTGCACTGCCTCCTTTTTAAGCCTGCTGTAATTGAGTTCTCTATTGTTCCACCTACCATAATGGCTATCTACCCTTCATTAATTTAGCTTGAAGCTCCTTGTCCTGATCTTTCTATAGTGGGTCATGATGTAAGTTGATATCAGGACAAGAGCTGAACTGAGTACGTCCTTAATATCTGATTTAGAATGTCCATATCGTAAATCATGTTGTAAGATTAAACAGCAGTGAGTTTTCTCTTCAGTCCATCAATGATGCCAGTACTAGTGTGCACAGTGTTAAGAATACATGAAATATTTTGAGGGGCTATCCTCCATACCTTGTTAGTGTTGTATATACATGTTTTAGCAGACATTGTAAAAACAGTTCCACTTGTAGTTTAACGGAGAGAGGTAGCTTGCACCTTTTCCCCAATAATTTCTGGGGACGTAGGCTCTGTCTGAACGCCCGCCCTAATCAATGTATAGGGCATTATGTATTTGTTGTTTGTTTTAGATGAGTGTCCGACCATCTGGTGGATGAAAAAGTAGTGGACTCGAAATGTCCCACAATGCACCTTGAAAAGTAGTGATCATCGATTGTCACTTGATGAACAGATATATCCCAGATTGCTTTGCAAGAGCTCTCCTCGCAAAGCATCAAGGGACTTGCTGTACCAGTGACTAATAACAAAGATGGCACAGGCACCGTGTGGGGAGGTGGAGTTACGTGACCAACGGAGATCGAAAAGTAGTGATCAACTGTCTGAACGGTCAGTTAACTGAGTTCACTACATCAGTGCTGGCTCGCTGGAATTTAGCAGCGGGTGTAAGGGCTAGCTATTGTTGGAAGATACACGTCCACTCAAATGTAAGTTCCGCTGGTTTACAGTATCTTCAACACAGTGACAGAAAATCACAAGGTAGGAAAAAGAAAAAAAGACTTCATTAATCCCTAAATGGAATGTCCTCTTTGAAATAGTTTTATTTGGCTGGACAGATTTATCTTTAAGAAAAAACAATGTTTGATGCTATGCTAACCTACAGTATGCCACAGAGCAACAGCCACACACATAGGGTGTCACTTTGTTGCCAAAGGAACGACTTTCTCTTTTCAGTTAAAAGGAAGAGGCCTTCCCATTGACTTTTATACCCCCACGTATAATCCAGGGGCCTTCCAAAGCTGTGAGTGACTTTATTGCGAGTGACACTTGATAGTTAAGGGTTAGTGGTTAGGGTACAGTTTAGGATTCAGACTAAGAAACCTGAGAAACCCTATAGCCATCCTGGAGTTTTTGACAAGTCTGGGTAATGAACTCACAATCTTTGCTTCCACCATTGGAGGCATGTCGAATGGGATTAGAAGATCCTCAAAGTTTTCTGTTATTATTATTATCTTTTTATTTAATATTGAGTTTTTTCTTTACATTTCTACTTTGGTAAATGTAGACAACAATTTCAGGCTTTTCAAGCTTCTCAAAACTTTGCTTAAAAAATAAACTGGTACTATATATCATATTTAGAACACAAAACAAAGCTCAAATCATGTCACTTTTTTCCTGAGGTTTAAAGTAAGGGCAAAGAAGTGAAATAAATATCAATTTATAATATGCTTGATCAAAAGACAAATTTAGTAAGAGGGTTGGAGAAAAAACAAAACGGCATCATTGAAAAAAGTCTTTCGAAAAATCTAATTGTTGTTATCAAAGCAGAAAGGAATAAGCTTCCATTTTGTTTTTGTTTTCATACATTTTTCATGCCATCTTCAAGAAAATTTGCTGAACAATGTCGACAAAATAAAGGCTTTACTTTGCTCATTAAATATTGAATATTGCTAAAAGGTTACTTTTCTATGGTTTCTAAATGACCACTTTTAGACTTCAATGAACACACCATTGGATTAAACGGGGGTTTAAAATTTTAATTCACTAGGATTGCCTGGGATCTCTTGGCTCTTCAATAATTCAAAGTCTTCTGTAGGTGTTAGAGCTCATTTAAAATCATGAACATCTGCAATTGTGTTGCTTTGGAGGAGAGTCAAATCAGATTGGAGTGGCTTTATTTTGTACCATCATAAATGTACAGATATTGCAGAGATTTTTATGCCTGATGGAAAGGTTCTCAGAGTTATAAGGATTATCAGAATCATGCACAATAGAAATTGCTAGTTTTATATTTGCGCAGCAAAATAACATAAGGAATTTAGTCGTTCAAAAAAATATAACTTATTTTAGACTACAATGCAAAAAGTAAAATGTCACATGAGAATAAGATAACTTTGGGGTGATATATTGTTTTGTAAAACTTTTCTTATTTTTACGATATATCAATATATGTTATGCAACCTGCTATTTGGACTGAATGGCTTCATTATCACACTCATCTCATGCACATGCAAGCTGCTCCCAACACCACCTCAATTGAGCTCTTTCCTGCACCTGTTCTCCTGCCCATTTTAGCCAAATTGTCCCTCCCAGTCAGCAACAGAGCATCTCCTTGCCATGTTTACTATTCAGTTCCATTTCTTGTCTGACTCTTCTGTCTCTTTTGGATTCCCTGTTTGTGTTGCCCTCTTCGGACACCTGAATGGCTTTAAATTACCTCCTCAATATGTAGTTAATTTCTCCAAATTCTTCTAAATCATAGATAGATCTAAATTTTGGATGATACCAAGCCTCAGGAAGTGGCATATTGCCCACCCCTGCCTTGGGTTATTATGGCTTTTGATTTCTGCCTTGTCCATTAGACTGTTGTGCCTGTTCTGGTTACTGCTACCAGCTAGATTAACTATCTCACCCTGTTCAGAAATCATCGCCTGCACAGCTGTCATCTGCCTGTGTTGCCTGACATTATTACATTCTTTACAACAAACCTTTAAGTGTAACTATCATTTTCTGGCTAAATTTTTGGGTTATCCAGTTCATTCTTAACAACAGAAGGCTGTATCAGGAAGAAATAATGCCTTGTTCTTAGTTTGTGTAACGGAGGAAAGACTAAAATATCCTGGAAAACTGCTAAAATAAAGATTAGTATATTTAGATGAGTATATCTGTAAAACTATGAGAATAAATGTTGCCTTTGACAAATTTTGTTTTATTTGTTAGGAGATGGATTTACTGCCTACTGTGGAATATTTCACTGACATTAGGCAAAGATCCAAATGCAACTGGTGGAGAACCACTGAAACAATTTGGTAGCAGACACTCACATTTGAATGCACATGCTGTCACATAACAACCTGAGGAAAACAAGCCAGAGACACATCACTGTGGTGTATATATGATATAATAAAGCACAACCAAATGTAACCATCTATGCAGAGACAAATGTGAAAGTGTGTGCCTTTACAATTCAATTTGTTAGAATCCTTAGCTCAGCTTTACTTATACTGTATCTGGTTGTATGCACAGGCAGATAAAATTTTAAATGATCTACTCAGCCTTTTTATCAAATAGATACAATTTTTTATTTATTTTTTGTGTGAAAAGCAATTGTCCTTTATTGTACCATACCTAACATATTTCAAGATAAAACCACTAAAGACTTAACATTATAAATAACTGATGGTGTGAATAAATTTTTAATTTTCTCAAAAGCTAACATATGACATATTTATTCACCCAAGCTGTGTACCTGTACCTGGAAGCCTTTCTGCAAAATATCAAACTATAATAAGGCTGTGATTACAGTTGATCTTAGTAAAAATATTGTGTGACTAGATGAAACATTTACTCCTGATACATTTAATCAAAACAATTTTCATTAAAGAATCCATCGTTATTGAGAAGAAAATACAAAAAAAGCACATTTGTTTTATCGAGAAGATAATATTCTGAAAATCAAAAGTGAGTAAAATAATATATAACTCTACTGTGACGTATACGGGTGATTCTGTGTAGACGGAAATAATTGCATTTGCAGGAGACATTTTCCCCACACTCTAAATCTGTCTTAGTTCATGGAAGGTAGATGATGATGGTATCTGGCGCTGAAAAAGCTCTCCTCTCACAAGTGTCAGCACCCAGTTACTTCCAAATATATTCATGAAATACAGCAGAACTGAGCCATCATTTGTGTTCTCATCACCTATTACTGGGCTCTTTTGATGGCGTCCATATATGTATGCAATTTCATAATTTAGTTTCAAATGAAATGTACCAAAAACACATCAATCATCAGAATCAATTTGCAGCAGCAAAATAACTCAGTACAGAGCCTCTCTATTGCTAAATTCAAGGTTCTGTGAGCTGGCCAGATTGAAAAACTAGAAGCCACAAAGTGTGGATAATTTGCTTCCTCTCATACCTTCAGCTACTTATTCCCCAGAGCTCAATGCTTGAACCTGAAAATAAAAGCCAAGGACCTGCACATGCATCTAAAAATAAACTAACAACTCGGGCTCAATTGTAATTTCCTTTCTGATAAATCTAATGCTCATCTTAATTTTGACAGAATACATGATGCATAGCCAGGTCACTCTCCAAACATGTCAGATCCAGTTGAGTCTTTCTCTATTTGTGAATCCACCTCTGATGCTCCGTTTATTAAATTCCCCAAACCCCACTGACTCTCATCATTACTTCCAGAGTTTCCAAATCCTCTCTAGGCCTACATCTGGGCATAGTGCTGACTTAGATTGAATTGGTCAGGGGTTCCCATTGTAAATGCATTACTCTTGCACTTGTTGTATTACACTCTTACCTCCACACTGAATCCCATTGTTACAGTAGAAGGGAGGAGGCCCTACACTTGTTCTTACAGAGTCTACAGATTTAAACTCTTCTAAATCATGTCACTGTAGACTAAAATGTTTCAGAATGTAAAAAATTATTGTGCATGCATTTGTAAAGCCAAGACAATTTCTCAGAAAGGCATGCGTTGAAAGAAAATATCACTTTCCTTTACAATAACCGTAAACACTAGTAAAGAATAAATACATTTAAAAGAGCAAAAAAACTATATGATACATTCAGTATATACACCTGTTATATACACCTGCCTTTTTGGTTTTTAAGTCTGTCAGTGAACACTGTGAATTAGTAGAAAATTTGCAAGACTTACCAGACAGCAATATAATCTGTGACGGGCTCAGTCTGCAGTAAAGTAAAGTTGATGTAAACCCCGTGGCCATGGGGAACGCTGATGAGCCAGTTGCAGTCTTGGGAGTTAGGGTATTCATTGGGGTACTGAGGTGAATAGATGGTCCCATTCTCAGCTGTCACATTATATCCACAAGGAGCTGTAAGAAACAGTAGACTGACAGTCAGCTTGAAAAATTTCAATCTTGCATAACAGGATAGACCTGGTAAAAAAAAAACATAAATGGACAGATTTACTCTTACACTGCAGGAGGTTAGAAATATGATGAATCGTTTAAATGGCTCTTTGTGACAAGAAACACCATCCCAAATGGCTCTGAAACTACACACAGCAGATTCTGAGGTGTTTGATTTAGATGTGTTGGACCAAGGACAAATATAAAAGTTGCAGGATACCCGTCCTCAGGCAGTGGAATTGCCCACCATTGGCCTAATACATAATTACATAAACTAACACTCAACTTGGTGAAGAGCAAGCAGTAATATCATGGGCTGTGTGGTTCTAAGTTATATACCTAAATACTGCCTAGCTTCCATCACTTGTACAGGGTAGTAGGATGAAGAAACCTTTTTTCCCCTTTAAAATATATGGCTTTGATTGAAAGCATATCTTGAGTTTCTGTCAAAAACCCAAATATTTTCATGATACAGATTAAAGTCAACATATTTCATATATTTAATACTTGTTTGGATCTATATCCCTTCATTGACAGTTTCCTTCCTGCCCTCCTTCTGAAATAACAGGTCCTTAAAACTATGTGACCACCTATACAGTTAGATTTGAGTATTTTGGAGAAGTGAAGTATTTAAAGGTTCCAAAATGGTAACTCTTGAGGACTGGAATTGTGCATCCCCACTTTCAGGTGTTGGAGAGGATTCTATGATTTCTTCCCTTACCTCAGATCATAAAGTAGCAATTGCCAGGAATCTGGTCCATTGTAGGAAACAGTGTACAGGATATTTATTATCAAGGAGTTGCAAGAGTATGCAGTATCTTGGTGGACTTCAAGAGCATTCTTTGGGTGATTCTTGCATGACCACAGCAAGAGTCGGTCAACACATCATCGAGTTGTTTTCAATTTGATTATGCTGCCTGTTGCCACTGACCTTATTTGTAAATGTTGACAAACATGATCTGAAAGCCTTGTCCTGAGGAGGGTTACTAGTTAGTGAAAATCAGCATTTCATCTTCACTTTTACACATTATATGAAAAAGTTTACTTTAGTGTGTGGCTGCAGGTTTTGTGTGTAGATTACAATTAGCAACGGATAGAAAAAAATATATATATATATTTTTTACAGGTATGGGCACAGGTATAAATCAGTGTTGTTTTCGTCAATGGAGACATGACGAAATTATTTTTTTGACGCTCCTTTTTTTAATGAAGATAATGAAAACTGACAAAATAAACATGGAGCTTTGATGAATAAAACATGGCAACTCATGGGTGAGTTTTCGTTGACGAGACGAGACAGAATAAAAAAGTTAGCGGGTGGTCTGCCAGACATTTAAAATGCATCATTGTGCTGTAAACTGTTAGACAAGCTAAGCGGTATCAGCCGTGCAGCAGCATCCTGTTAGGTCATGCCCACCACCTGGGTGCACATTCTGCATGACCACAGATGAACCATGCCAGCAGGGTTAAAATAAGCTGGAATGATCTGATACTGCACGTTCAACTCGATAGAATGCATGAATAGATCGATCATAAAATTGTTTTAGACTGAAGAAAAAATTGATCCAATACACATGAAAGAAAGAACCTAGGAGTGGAATTTGAGATAGCTGAAATATTCACCGGGAATAGGTAAAACCTAATTCTGGTTACCTGTATTGTTTTTTTTTTTCATCAGGAAATTATTTATGGCTGGGAATATATCATGCAAAATGTACTTATCTGAGTTTAGACAAGTACTCTAATAAAATATACCCTGCACAGTGACAGCAACAGTTTTTTTTTTTTTTTTTCTTTTGCTGTGAGTGGTTTAAACCTGGTTCAGCCAATCGGCAAAGTGCCATGATACTATGTTTTCAGCAGGAATGCACCAATGCCACAATTTTCTTACCAAACTATGAGTACAATACTGGCATTCAGTACTAGCTGATAACAAGTTACAATCCAAATACTAAACAAAGGTTAGTCATATTGACACATTTTGATCATATTATCTTATATTCTAAGCAGAAAAAGGAGGACTTTACTTTGAATCGCGTTCAGCTGAAATCAATTTCTCTTTCTCTTTACAACTTTGCCAAACATAACATGGGGTCCTCTTTCATCAGGAGTAAGCATGCTTTGAGCAGTGCTTTCAAAGCTTTTGATCTAGCGGACCTTACAGAGAGAGTCTCGATGCTAAGCTAAATCAGAGGGTTCATTTGAAAATACAGAATGATTTTTCTTTCTCCAGCATGAACTTGGAAATACAGTATCCGCACATCTTTGACATAGCCTCACTTTAACATTCTAGCCTCTTATGCCAGGCTCACACGTGGCAGTGGTGGGTTGCCCCAAGACACCCAAATCAGTAAAATGTATGTGTACACTCAATCTTGTCTTGTTCCAGCATGCTTCCAGTTAGTGAGGCCACGCTGCTGAATGGAATTCCCCAAAAAGAGAGTTTGGCATGATGCTGCAGATATCTCAGTATCAAGTTCCTTAATATCATGAGCCAAAAGGTATGAGCAGATGTTAAGCTCTTTTCTCAAGAGTGCCCTTTCCTTAGCTGGATCCACAGGTGGGCAAGGCAGGGCACAGCAGTGTGAGTGTAATTGGCTTTTTTTGTTAGGCCAGCAATAGATCAGGACTGCAGCCGCACTGGTCTTAAAGTCACCCTGTTATAAAGCAGTGTGTCTGACTACTACTGCTGCTGCTCCCGAGGCTCCTCTCCCTGTCTCTTATGCATTTTATTCACTTTATTCCATCTTTATTACACCACAGACACCACAGTCCTTTAGTATCATAGGACATTTACAAATAAGAGTACAAGGGTATGTTATCAGGCCCAAAACCGGTGCTTTCCTGCCATGCTATAGCAGCTTAGAGATGATGCAATGAAATGGGCAGCACCCAAATCAAGGAGAGGTGCCATTACAGCGAAGGGAAGTGTGTCTCATCTGGGTTAAAAAAAACTGTACCAGAAAATAACCAACCTCATAACAAATGAATACTCTATAGTCTCAAATCAAATATGTCTCCATATATATTTCTATAGTGGACTTTGGAAGGTTTAAAAAACATAATTTAGGACTAACTAAATTATATTCAGTTAAAAAGTCTTTCCATAAGAAAGATCATGAAATAAACTGAGACCCTCATTCCAGGTGAAGCTGAGCTTCCTTATTTAGAGCAGACCTGAGTTTTGATGAGAATAAACACTTTCAAACAAGGTGGACTAACCAAGGAAATAAATTACAGCCCGTTTGAAGAGGAACACAAAGGAACCCACAAAATTACACTGATGTTAAAACCTTAAGCCCCTGTCACACCTTGATGATTCAGACAGTGTATGCCTGAAGTCCAAGAATATTCTAAAACACTGGCATACGCTGAACTTTCTATGTACTTTTTCAATTTTGGGCATATACACAGAGTATTCAAAACGAGTCCAGAGTGTACATCCAACGACAGCCTAACTTATGCATAATGCACGGCAGCCTAATGCCCATGAAATGTCACAAGCCAGTAGGTGCCCAGCCTGCATAAAAAGATTGCTTTGATCACAGTATTGACCTAGCTGCTGTTTACCGCCTGCCAAAATAAAAGAAAAGACTAAATAAAAAGGAAAAGAAAGAAAGAGGGTTTACAGCAGAGTAAGCATCATGTCTGCTAAGAAGTTTGTTTGTCGTGGTTGTGGCCGTAAACGCAGGGAGGATCCATCACACGCACCTTCGCTTTCACCCTATGATCGGGTGAAGTCTGGTGGAGCACTGACTGTTTCCTCCTGTGAACACCCTGTAAGTTAGATGCATGTTCAGCGGTCCGCTGGAACATGTCAAATACATTGATTTGTGTTGGAGATAGGTTCTTGATAAGTTATGCATAAGTTACTGATAGGTTTTGGATAAGCTAGACATTACGACTTATGAGTAACTTACACTTAATGTAAGTCAAAGATCAAATACCTGTAACTTATGCCCCATGTATGGCATACGCTGGCATATGTCACTGTGTGTTGAGGTGTGTCAGTGCGTTTCATCATGGTCATAACTTATACAAAATGTACCCATAACTTATCCAACTTATGCCAGCTTTTTACCAGATCTTTCATATGTCTGGCATACAGTGTCTAAATTGTCAAGGTGTGACGGGGACTTTAGATGTTAATACATTTTTTATGAAGAAAAAGGAGCAAATGACACATTGAACAATTTGTAGTTTCACATAATATGAGCAATATGGACTGCTGAAACTGAATTCTTGCTTAGAAATGACCCAGTAACACAGACAATGTTGATTCTCTCTTTATTAAAGAACAACTAGCAAAGACAGATTTACTATATACTGTATATAAAAGATTTAAATGGTATGTCTTACCCTCACATCGAGGAAATGGATGATTCCATTTTCGATTTGTCCCATGGAGGCATGTTAGCACCTTGTGTCCAATCAAGACATAACCAGAGTAGCACTGAAAAGTAATTGACTGTCCAGCACTGTAGTCACTCTTGATAATGTCCCCATTCGGAAATGGAGAAGGATCCTGGCAGTTCTGAAGCTGATAAGCTAAAGACACAAAAACCCAAAGAAAGAAAAGTTACCATTAATATTGTAACAATGTGCTTTAAATCATCTCTTTTTTGTTCAGATAGCCAAGGTAAGCATACACATATTAGTTACTCATACAGTATTTCACCAAGGAATGTCCTCTTGTGGGAGTGCGGTAAATGGGAGGCTGTTTGTAGGGGGCAGGACCTAAGACACTTAGGCCATTCTGTATAGCTGAGTATAGAGTAAGAGGATATGGTTGTCATATTCATAGCATAGGAGGTTACTGAAACATTTATTTTGCTTGGTGGTACAAGCACCAAATGTGGTAACCATGTTTTGCAAGACCTATTCTCTCAAAAAAGTGGGTTTTCCAATGCTGGTTTATATTGACTGAACTTCTAAAAGACAGGGGTTAGTTCCATGAAAACCTTCCATGCTTGTAATGATTTATTTTATTTTTTGTAGCTTTGTATGTATTTAAGAATATGATTGTCAATTATTAAGTTTTCCAATGTTGTACAATTTAATTATGTTCAACTTTTGAGTAAATATGATGTTTCTATTTATAATGGAATACTGACTTTAGGAGATTTCTAGCCTTTACAATTTTATGGGAAGAATATCAGATAGTAGTTTTGTTTATTTTGCTAGTAGTTGGACATCTCTTTCACAATGGCCTGTGTCCACAGACAGGTCGAAGTGTGTGTTCTCTTGTGGCTGAGGTTTGCTGTAGCATTTCAGCGCTATCTTCAGCTAAAAGTAAAATGTCCATGCAAAATGTCCAAGTATTGGGAGAAAAACATAGAACATTTTAAGTGTTTTATACAGTAATTAGGTAAAGACCGGACTTTTAAAGGAAGGGTAACCCTAAATTACTTTTTGTGATTCGTTTTATTCAGAGGATAAATCTGATTTAAATACTAACTTAAACATCAAAGTGAGACAAAGGGGGTCGTTGATGGGATAGGACATCCCTGCAATGTAACGATAGAGGGAAAAAAACTTCAAAGTATTATTTTTATGTACATGTACAGCATCACTAAACTCAGAATTTCCTACCATATCCATAACTAGCAGGAAATGATAAATGCTAACCTGAGCAAATACATGAAAGAACCATATTTCAAGAAATGTATTAAGATAGACAAGAAATGAGAGAAGCAAGTATTTTCTATCTTATGCACAGCATGTTGGCACTTGGTTAGAGAAATGTCAGCAACCACAGGCCCACAACGGTGCATTTCTCTCTGTATGGCATTGGAAGCCAATACCCTCCATTAAGTGTGCCTTTTATTGTAAAAAGAGGTGGTTGACATTGAAGTCCTTGCTACCACAAAATGTGACAGAACAAGCAGCACCTAACAGCACTTAAAAAGAGCTCACACAAGGTCAGCTTAAACACAGTCTTCAGTGCTGTGCAGCAGTTATACCGTAAAATCTGTTAAGCTGGATCATAGAAAAGATGATGTCAACATGATCTAAAACTTAGGAAGGAACAAATGGCTTGTTTCGGTCTAATTATATTTAGTAGCGTAAACTGACTTACTTTAAAAAATTAAATAGTTTGCGTTATTTTCCCAAAATGTAAATTAGTTAGTCACTCAGTTACTGCTCTCATAAGTACTATTCGTAAAGCAAAGTAACTATACTTTTAGTTTTAATGGTCTAAAATTTCAATAAATTAGATGACTCTCTTTAATTGCAACTTAAAAACAGCTATGTGTTCAGTAATACATTATAGAATATTAAATTAGGTAATTACTGAATTAAACAGACTATATATCTGTGACTCATATACTTTGCAATCAAATTATATATATATATGATTAATACTATGTGCAATATTTATTAGGACAATAGAACTGACTAGATATTTTTTTAATGTAATACATACGGCTTGAAAAAGTATACACTTTGATATTCAAAAATTCCAGATAAGAAGCGTTAATTGTATGTGCAACTTTTTTTATTACAAGTAATAAGTTGGCGTATTGCAGTTGATCTACAAAGCTTGCTGTGCAAATGTTAAGAAATAAGTCCATTCTTTTTCCATTCAAAGTATTTATTCCTGGACATATTGCATGTATAAATCACAGGCACATTTTATCTTTGACTTTAGTGTGTGCAAAGTAGTGTTATTCCAAAGTAGTTCCAGTTTTGTAATGGTATTGTTGAAACTTCTCTCTAGTATTGTCTTGCTCCTTGTTTGTTATTGGTCTCATTCTATATCAATAAATACCTGGACATCTTATGCTTTGTCAGACAATTGGCATTAAAAAGCACACCTGCTCTTCCTTGGCACTAGAAATAAAAAGCAGTTCCCTTCAACTACAGAGAGGGTGTCAACTGTGATAATGTGAATAACGTGCTGTTTGTGAAGAAGAAATTGAAAAGTTAGAGAACGCCATCCAAACACCGGTTTTCCAAGATGATTTCCAGTACAACTAACAACTGTGTGTAAAACTAAGTAAGAGCTATACAAAATCCATAAAATAAAAAAATTAAAATAAATAAAAACAAATAAAAACACTCTGAACTATATGGATGGTGGGAAATAAAAACAAAATCTGTTAAAAAAAAAAATCCAAAAAGCACTTAATTACGTTTGCATACACGTAGGCTAGATTAATTGGTCTTAATAGCAGAACAGAAAAGATACATCACAACCAATGATTTGTCTAAAACTAACTCCAAGAAAAACTTAACTTATTTATGTGTAGAAAAGAGCAGTTAAAGGCAAAGCAATGTCAGAGTGCCATTGCCAAAACTGGAATCAGAGCTCCCTTAAGCTTTTCTGTGTCACACTTGTGTTCAAATTGTAGAGTATGAGTACATTTTACCAGTGTGTTTATTGTCACATTTTTGGCTTGAGCACTTATCCAGCTACGGCTGCACAGGTGTGCACACAGATATGCGGTCTCATGACCTCTTAAGCTTTGAACACCTGAGATTGCATGTGATGTAGAATGGCACTGAAATGAAGGTACACTTTGCTCAGTTCATAATGAGGAGCTTCTGCATGTGTTGTAACCTCCTGCCAAAGGAATATTGCTGTCAGGTGTTTTTAGGTGAAACTCATTGTGTGGAATGATTTTGGCATTCCCCAAACATATAAAGTAGGCGGAGGATGACAGAAGCTACAGTATTAAGGCACTTACTGTTCCAGAGAAAAAGGAAGAAATTAAGATGTGTGCATAAATGTGCATTAGCTTAGGTGTAAGTAAGCCTTGTTCTACTTATCCTGGCAAACAGGCCCATAATGCAGCTTCCATGTCTTTGAAGTGAAACACTCAGGGTTACAAGTAAAGCCTGCTGGACATGATGTCAGTCTCTCGCAAGGGTTTACTGGCAATCCATCTCTTTTAATGATGAGAGAAAAGCCACAAGGTTTTTAAAGTCTTTAGCATGACTCATCCATGGATCAAAGCTTGAAACCTCATAGCATTTTTTCATCCCATAAATCATTTCTTTGAGTTGCCAAGCTTTGAAATGTGGCTGCTAGGTTAGAGCTTCTTAATTCATTCTAAGCTTTCCAGAGGACTTTTTTTTTCTTAAATTATTTCAACAACTACTATGTCTCAATAATCAATAATACCAAGCCTACTTTTGAACCCAGGCTTCCTCTACCGCTGATAAAGCCCTAAATTAATCTGAGGCATTTCTTAACCACACATTGAAAGCTTGGAACAAATCTTGGAAGAAACCTACCCTGGTAGGTTAGTCTGAATCCTGGTCTGTTCTGTGAGTGGTCACTGTAGAAGTGGATGATTGTCAGGTGCGTAGTGCTCATCAGTGGTGGTGGAATCTGTGAGCCCGTAAACTGACCAATGAGAGCAGAGCTGTGTTGTGGTCCAGCACGGACTTCAAGAAAGTCATGATTGTCCTCTGAGGAGAAGTTTTGAAATTGGATATGGGCTCCTGGAAAATAAAAGAAGTACATACATGTTTTGAACAAACAAAACAACACAAAAAACATCTCCACACAATGCCTGATGGCATGAAATGATCAAAGCAACAGGAGAGTCTCTGTTGACACATGATTGTACAGAATTTTTTTTAAAAATATCAATCTATTCATCCATCTTCTGCTGTTTGTCGTTCTTTAACAGTTTAAAATCCTCATTCTCACATATAAAATCCTAAATGACCAAGCTCCATCAGATCTGATTATCCCTTACCGAACACTTTGCTCCTAATCTGCAGGTTTACAAGTGGTTTATACATTTTTTTTTTCTTTTTATACAAGTAAAACCAATG